CTTAGGTCTGGCTAGGAAAGCATAATATCGGGGTTGGGCCCCAGCACTCTGAACTACATCCCTAGGACGGCCTCCTGCTGGCTGGCCTCCACCTCTAGCGGCCTGACCTCCACCTCTAATACCTCAACCTCCACCTCTAGTTGTTGGACCCCTACCTCTAGCTGCCTGAACGAGAGGTGGAACACTCAGTGCTGGAACCATGGCACGAGAACCCTGATGCTGAGAACTGCTCGAGGCTCGAGGGCAAAATCTAGCAATGTGCCTCAGATCGCCACAAGTATAACAATACTCCGGCTGCTGAGACTGCTGGCCCTAAAACTGACTCTAACAACCAGAGTAACCACCCTGAAAACTCTATAGCGGAGGTGCACTGATAGGAGATGATGGAGCACTGTAGGATAGCTAATCAGAATACTACATATGATGGCCACGACCACTTGGAGCACCGTGAGAAGTTTGAAGTGCTGAATAAACAGTCTGGAGGATGGCCTCTACCAAAAGAATCCCTGCCTCCAGACAAGACACCATTGAACCTGCCAGAATGACAAGGCCTCTTGTCTGACCCCTGACCACTCCCCTGAGCTAAAACTATCTCATTTCGCCTGGCCACATTGGCTGCATCCTGAAAAGAAATCTCGCTCCCGGACTCCTTNCTCTCTCTCTCTCTCTCTCTCGGTGGGGAGTATAAGAAGAGCATGACGAGCCAAATTAATAAACCTAGTCTCGTATTGGGTGACAGTCATAGAACCCTGATGAAGATGCTCGAACCGCCTGCGGTACTCCTCTCTCTGAGTGACGGGAAGGAACTTTTCGAGAAATAGCTGAGAGAACTGGTCCCAAGTAAGAGCTGGTGACCCAGCTGGTTTGGCCAAACAATAATCTCTCCACCATTTCTTAGCGGAACCTAACAGATAAAAAGCAGCAAAGTCGACCCCATTGGTTTCCACTATCCCCATGTTCCGTAGAACCTCATAACAACTGTCAAAATAATTATGGGGATCCTCTGAAGATGTACCGCCACAGGTAGTAGTAAAAAGCTTGGTGAACCTGTCCAATATCCACAAAGCAGCAGAAGACATAGCTGATCCATCACCGGTCTGAGCTACCACACTCGGTGGAACTACCCCAACTGGCCAGGCTGCTAGAGTCTGAAACTGGGGAGCCACCTCCTCCGGAGTGCGAGTAGCGGGAGTCTGTGCTCCTCCCAAACCCCGAGAGACGGCTGGTGCTATAGGAAGTATGCTGGCTTGAGTAACACTCTCCATAAGGCCCACTAGACAGACCAAAGCGTCCTGAAGTACCAGAGTAACGATGAACCCCTCCAGAGCTTGAGCTAGCTCTGCTGGAACAGTCTGGGCCGGAACCTCATCGTCAAACTCTACCTGAGGCTCCGCCGCTGGTGCTGCTGCTCTGGTCTGAGCCATGCCCCTTCCTCGGCCTCGGCCTCATCCTCTGCCCCTCGTAGGAGCTGTCGTTGGGGGCTTGGGCTGCTGATCAGCTGATGAAGCGGTACGTGTTCTCACCATCTGCGAAAGAACAAAGTAGGAGTTCAATAAGCATTGAGAAAATCAAATCGCATGACAGAGAAGAATAGATGTGAAATTATTCCTAAACTCTGTAGCCTTTGGAGATAAGCACAGATGTCTCCATACCGATCCCTCAGACTGTACCTAGCTTGTTCGTGAATTGTGAGATCTAGACAACCTAGTGCTCTGATACCAGCTTGTCACGATCCGGATTTTTCACCGTTAGGATTGTGATGGTGCCTACTCTTGAAAGCTAGGCAAGCCAACAGATACATTTCTAACGCATTAGTTATTAACTCAAACAATAATAAATAATAGCTAAAGCTAAGCAAACATAAAGTGCGAAAGTTTCATAACAGTTCAAAACTCTAAAACAAGGCTACCCCGATGATCTAGTGTCACAATTCACAAACGTCTAAGAATTTCTACAAATACTAGTTTAACGGAAAAAATACATCTATTTCTCGGAATGAAAGAAAATAGGAACTAAGATAAAGGGAAGGGGACTCCAGGGTCTGCGAACGCCGGCAGATCTACCTTGGGTCTCCTGTGGACTAAAGGCAGCAACCTCAAACTCTGATCAGTATGGTCCAGTACCGAGTTCTGCAAAGAAAATGCAGAGTGCAGTATCAGTACAACCGACCCCATGTACTAGTAAGTGCCGAGCCTAACCTCGGCGAAGTAGTGCCGAGGCTAGGACACGACAAACAATATAAACTCTGTGTAGTTAAACAATATACTAACTGAATAACAAATATTAAAAACTGAGCAGAAATGAACGGGAAGGGGAATCATGCTATGGGGGTTCCAACACAAAGAATCACAGCAGTAAAGGAACCTAAACAACTAGAACACTAGAACCGATAACAACAAATAAACATAGCAAACAGAAAGTGTACGGTATCACCCTTCGTGAATTTACTCTCAATCCTCACCATGCAATCAATAATAGAAATGTGCACGGCATCACCCTACGTGCTTTATCACTCTTCCTCACCATATGAATAATAGAAATATGCACGGCATCACCCTTCGTGCTTTATCACTCTTCCTCATCATATGAATAATGTAAATGTGCACAGCATCACCCTTTTGTGCTTTATCACTCTTCCTCACCATATGCATAAATAGAAACAATAACAACCCGAATATGACATCACAATCAAATAACTTCATTTTATCATTTAATTTCACAACAGAAATCTCAACTTGAGCCAATACTCAACTAATATCCATACTCATTTAATTTGCGGCCAGAGCTTCGCAATTGCGAAGCTCTCAAATGCGAGACATGCATCGCAAATGCAAACCTGCTGCATGTCTGCTACTATCGCAATTGCGAACCTTTGGTCCCAATTGTGATGGTTGCCCCTCCCTGATGACTTCGCAAACGCGAAGAAAAGTTCGCAAATGCGAACTATGTTGGCCCAGGTCATCATCGAAATTGCGATAAAACCCTCGCAATTGCCAAGCCTGTGAAGCTCGCAAATGCGAAGCCTGATCTCGCAATTGCGAGATCAGAGGCCTGCAATAGATACCAGATGCACAACAGATTTTCTAAGTCCAAACTCACTCCGTGGCCTATCCAAAATTCACCTGATCCCTCGGGGCTCCAAACCAAACATGCACACAAGTCTAAAAACATCATACGGACTTGCTCGTGCGATCAAATCGCAAAAATAACATCTTAAACAATGAATTTAACACCAAAACTCATGAAATCTTTAAGAACATTGAAATTTTTATTTTCACAACCGGACGTCCGAATCACGTCAAATCAGTCCCGTTTCTCATAAAATTTCACAGATACGACTTAAATACTATATCAAACTTGTACCGGACTACAAAATCAAAATACGAACCCGATACCAACGAGATCACACTCCATTCCATTTCTAAAAATTCTTATATTTTCCACCAAACAATTTTCTTCAAAAATTCATTTCTCAGGCTAGGGACCTCGGAATTCGATTCCGGGCATACGCCCAAGTCCCATATTTTACTACGGACCCTACGGGACCATCAAATCACGGGTTCGAGTGTGTTTGCTAAAAATATTGACCGAAGTCAACTTTAATTAATTTTAAAAGTAAAATTCAATATTCTTTTTCTTAAATTTCACATAAAGGCTTTCCGGAAATGCTCCCGGACTGCGCACGCAAATCGAGGAGAATGAACATGAGATTTTTAAGGTCTCGACGGAATCGGATTCTAAAACGAAAGATGACCCTTTGGGTCATCACATTTTCACTTCACAATCACTTAATGGGTCTGAATAGGTCTGTATGATTAAGATCTACAACAAAGACTTAATTTCATTAAGATGCTATCATCCACATTCATTATTAATTGTCGACATCGCCTACCATTATCAACTATCACCATGCCACACACCACCACCATACTCAATCATAACCGCCACCATTATCGACAACCTCCACCAATTATCCCCACTACCTCACCACCATCATTCTCAACTGTAACCACAAACTCATCCACCTCAACTGCCATAACTAACTACCCCATCATCATCAATAACCGTAGCCGGCACTGTCCACCATTATAAACTACCACCACCTTCTTCAATCACAACCACCACCATCACCCACCATTATTAATTATTATCACTCACCACCTCCATCCTCAACCATAATCGCTATCACTATCAATCACCACTAGCTATTACCTAGAACCACCACCAACCACTGCCTCTAGGAAGCATTCACAAGCACCATCGTGAGCCATCACCACCACTAACTATCATATATATATATATATATATATATATAATATGTTATTTTCTCTCCAAAATTTCTCTCTAAAGATATCTCTAGTTGACAAAAACACCAATCTATACTAACAATAAACAGCTTTGACCGTGTGTGTTCTTCAATTATATCACAAATTTGTCATTTATCCTTGGTACTTACATTGTTTCACTTTATGTAATTTTATTTGACTGACCATTAAGTTTAAAAAAAGAAACAATGACTTTTTAGCTTGTTGTTTTGTGTTATGTCATAACTCTTGTATGGCAATAAAATTTTGAAACTTGTAATTAAACATAGCCATAACATTTGTGGCTTCATAAGCTTGTCACTCAAGATAAAATAAAAAAAAATTACGTAAAATTGTTTTCAAAAAGGTGATCCTTTTTCTTTTAAATTTAACAAAATAATAAATAAAGTCGCATAAAATGAAACGAATAGAGCAAACGTTTTCTCTTGCAGGGTAATAAATTGTTGTTACGTGCTGATAATTGGATTGCTTCAATACCTGTCGTTACTAATCCAAACCAAATAGCTCACAACAAAAAGAAAAATTATGAAGCTGTACTGCCCAAAAACATTGTCTAAATAAGTTCACATTATGAATTAACATGACGAACATTGGGGATGACAAAGACCAATTCAACTCAAGCTTGTCGTAAAATATAAAAAAGCAAAGTATTTACAATTTTGCAATTGGGACAGCTTGCATCAAATACGCAGGATTTTGTATAAAAGGTTAATGTCTCTTCAGCTATACAACACACAATGCTATGTACAATCCAATAATTTGGTGAAGTCCAAGATTCTACATAATCCTAAGTATACAAACTGCATAAGTTGAATGTCATCAGCTCAGAAGAGAATGCCCCTAAATAATTTCAAATTTAATCTTGAAAAAGGGCACATTCCTTATGTTTAATCTCCATAGCAATATACCATGGAGCGCAAAAGTTGAGGATTTTCTAACTCGAGTTTCCTTTCCAAGGCATGCGTCTTATACTCCACGAGACTGCAAGTGTACTAGGATTAGGAAATCCTCCAACTTAAAAAATCAACTCCTCTTACATTTGGTACACAAGGTGTAACATTTGAAATGTCGGAGACAACATGGTGACATGGTTTCGCGGATCTCTTTACCTATCATGTGGGAGATCAAGAAGTTTGTTTGGAAAAATTTGCACGAGCTAACTCCCGTTTGAGGAAGGTGGCATAGAGAAGCTCGTTCCATGTATCAGGGACACCGGGGAGACACCAGTGGCTGCAGTCTTGGCGGTGGAGAGAAGCTGGCCCAACCTTAGGACCTAAGTAATACAAAGATGAGTGACCATCTCTTCTCTGAAATGTCATTCCTGTTACATTCAGTAAATCCAAGTTCCACGCTTTTGATTTCTTCTGTTGCTCTGACAGCACATTAATCACTGTGTTATATTCAAATGACGTCTTCAGCAACTCTTGGGACGATCCTATATTAGGTAGTGTCTCCAGATGACAGCTACCACCAGTTTTCCAGTCCCCACCTCTATTCATCAAAGTAATTCATTAATTGCTTGTTGACTGAATAAATACAACTAGATGTATAATGAAGCAATGAATAAACTAATCTGGATGTATATTATAACGTCACAAAATATGTTGCCAACTCATGAATTGAAAGATGTAAGCATGGACTTTGCCATCTGATTATTGAAAATAGCGTAGTAACAGGAGATATGTCCATGTTGGAAATAGAAGTTCGAACATAACGAATGCCACTGAAATATGCATGTTGAGAGACAATTTGGGGAAGAGGAGGTCGTATGGAGATCTTTTGACCTATTATTTTCTTAAACTGTCTGTTTAAAGCAAAGGAAACATTGAATGTGGGGTAGAGATACACACAGGCGTACAGATAAATGGACATACATACCGTGTGTGTGTTTTCTCAACCTTGTGTGACATGTACACACTCAATATCTTCCATTTCTACAGGATAGTAAAAGTACAACCACTACCAATAACAACTCAGAACTCATTTAATATGACCAATAGATACTAAGATTATGAATCTAATAACCTTAAATGTTCTCATCTTCCTCTTCTTCTTCTTCTCTTTTTATTTTATTTTATTTGTGATAATCGAGAAATTTCCGAGGGCTAGCTAGGTCTAAACTCAGTACCTACGTCATATAGAAAGTTACCTTCATTCAACAGACCAAGACCAAGACATACCTGAAGTGGACAGGAGCATAAGTTCGAAATACAACATGCGTCTTGGTCATGTTCACTTCATGACCTATCCAATCAACCAATCTCAAAATAGACTTTTGGTATGCAGTCTCTATACTCATGGTCATGTTGACTTCTCCACCTTCTTGAAAGTAACATCCCCTATCAAGTAAGGAAATCAAGAAGTCACAAATAATTTAGACTTATTAGTGTAACAGGTAAAGCAACAAAAGTTGAAACGCAAACTTAAAGTGCTTAATGATAATACACCACTTAGTGATGAGAAGCAACACATCTAAACCACCTTGAGGAATAAATTTAGGTGATGAGGACAATAGAGAACTAAATCCGAGTAAACAGCTTCATATAAACCTCTTAAGCTACTTATCCAGAAAAATTATGTTGTTTTTCCCTAATAAATATTACTAGGGAATACATAATAGTTGTAACATTTTTTAGCTAATAGAATCCAACGACAACTCCTAATCACTTATGCCTCACTAAACCCTTTCAATTTCAGAAAGAAGGCCAACCTCAAGGCTAACACAAAAAAGGCCAAATGAAAGAGCTAAAACATATTTAAAGAAGCTTCAGCATGCGGATATTCAAATTTACCCCCTTCAATTCTACATATCATAATAACTTTTATATATTTACTATAGCTACATGACAGAGGAGTTAAATTCTGAATCTTATTGTTACGCTAAATGACTAAGCCTATTACTGAACCATTTCCAGTGACTGTACTGCCAAACCTATTTCGCTGTACATAGCCACTACTCAAGGTACATAGTTTAGATCAATTAGCTGAATCCTTCACTGCCAAATTTAACATAAGGACATAAATAACCATGAATGATGGGACACCAGACATCTTGTAGATGCAAAACATGCTTAGTGCATGGGCACAATCCAAAAGGGACATTGAGCACCAATACTTTTCAATACTCTACCCTCCCATCCGTTTATTTTTCCTTTCACAATGTGCAAAGAGAGCATAGGAAGATATAAAGCGCACGGCAGCCAAGGTGCTCGCTAATGGTTATCAGTTATTTGATCTTCTGTGACGTACTCTTCTTCTCCATGGAAAATCCTTGCCATAAAGTAGCTCAATAAATTTGAAGGTTCTGGAAATATGTGGCAAATGGTTATGCTAGTTTTCTCTATGCACTCTTGTGGTTGTTGACAACTTTCTTTATGTTTTACCAATCTTTGGCAGATATTTAATTAATAGAGTTTTTTGTATATGTCTAGTTATTAAGGGGCCATACTTCTAGCTTTCTAAATGCAAAATCTAGAAAGGAAATATATATAACCATAGCAACAAACAGTATAATACAACTATTGGCTGTGTTGGGAATGATTCTAATAATAGCAGGGCTATAATTTATTTGCAGCAGCTCTATTGGACTTAGTTCTTGACATAAAAATAAAATCAGTGTTCAATAAGATTCAATGTATCAGTTAACAAGCAAGAAAATTATGGGCTTAAATTGATAAAGAAAGAAAAGAGCTTACTCTCTAATAGTTTTTTCATGAATCCACCAGTGACCACTGTTGAATATCAAAACATCTGCCCCTTTCCACTGAGTAGAGCTCCAATCCATTTGATCTAACCTCAATGTCAATTTAACATTCTTGGGAGCCCCCGAAGGCGGACGACCCTGAAACACTAGGAACGGAGCTCTATAGTACTCAACAGTGCAGTTGAAATCCTTGAACTTAAAAATCAAGAAGCCCATGTGCTTGGTGATAGGATTTCCATTGACTTCATATATCTTGCTTTTGTCGGGAACTGCAGAAGACAACATGCAGAGAAGAGACTCCCACTGGTTTCTTCCAATTGAATCCCCAACAAATACAACCCGTCTGTTTCGCAGCTTTTCTAACATAATTTTTGCGTCGAATCTGCTTACAAGTAATCAAAACACCAAAATTTGCATTCAATAATTATGGAAAAGATTATGAAAAGCTCTCACCAACTAAGGTCAAAGTCCTCTTAAAATAACAATGTTAAACTTAAATCGTCAAGCTAACAACTTTAAATGACGCTAAACGAGACCCAACACAGTAAGAGTTTAAGTTCTAAGCACAGACAGATGTACATATTCTTTATACACACCATCAAGTAAAATTGGCCTAATAGGTAATTCTTTATATCAAGACTGAAATGGTAACTTGCAAAATAGAATGAGAACCTACTACAACCAGTTAATTATGCTGATTGTGTAACAAAATTTTGCTCTGTTAGTTTATATAATAAAATTCACACAGTTATTCAATGTGGAGAACCTGAGTTTAAGTTCTATGGATTCGCAGTATAAAAATTATTTACACTATCAGCTGCAAGTCATCTCTTGATAAGTTGGTAATCTGCTAAAAACGGTAACTAACCTGCTATTACAGGTTGAAATTCACTGATAGTACAAAAAGTGCTTTACACCATAAATGTGTATAACAAGCAGGAAATCAATGCAAGATAATCAAATTAGGGGTTCTCTAAAACATAATCAAAGCCTTAACGGTTCAAGCAATTCTTTCACTTGCTAAAAATGATTACTAATCTAGGTTCAAGTTCACTTATAGTGTAAAGAATTCTTTAACTATGAGTATATATAACTTAGATTTGTAGACCCTTAATCAGCTTAAATGAGCAGGAAAAGCTATGCCAGAATATCAAATTAGGGGTTTATAAAAACATATCATATCAACACCTAAACGGTTTAAGCAATTATTTCACTTTCTTCTCTTTTAAATTCATTACTTAAATTACCAGTAGAACTCAAACACACAGTAATAAAGTACAAGAAGAAAATTAAGTAAATAAACCTGGGCAAGTTGCAATCTTTAGGTTGCCAACGCCATTTAGTATAAAAATTATCAGGTCTACCATTCTCAGAACAACGAAAGCCTTCATCCAAGAACTTACAATCCTTTGATTTATACAGTGGATAACTTTCATCCCAAACCCAAATCCCATCAAAAAGATCACAACTTTCTGCTCCCTTCTCAAAAAAATCCAACTTTTCACTCTTGTTATATGGAACAGACGATCCATTGAGCCCAATCCACGTAGCAAACAAGGATGTTTGCTGATACAAACGAGGCCCTTTGTTTACTTTTCTGTAATCTAACAAGAAGAGACACAAGAATAAGCAAACAGTGAAGAAAAAACAGCCAAGTACACCTGGTGATGGCTCAAAAAGCTTCAAGCGCTTGAATTTCTTGAAAATTTTCAATTGGGTCATTGTGTTTAAGATTCTAGGAGATGGGGTTTCACTCATCTCTGCTTTAGACTATAAAAAAAAGACTTCCTGGGATGAACAGGATTAGCAAAATAGAATAAACAAGTCTCGAAAAAGCACAAAAGAATGAGGAAAAAATAAAAAATAAAAAAGTTGAAAAATATTGGAGGGTTTTTGTTTTGAGAAGATATAGAAAAGTGTTTCACAGAGAGCTTTTTCAGTAGCTAAGTGGGGTTCTTTAGAGAGAGAAAATATGTGTGTGTGTGTGTGTAAAAGAGGACAGAGTTAGAAGAAGTTGAGGATGATGAGGTGGGGACAGTTGTGGACAAATTAAAGACAAACATTCAAAATAAAACGGCTAAAATGGGTCCATGCAAAAAAATGCAGTTTACACATTGCTCTCTGGTAATAATAAGCAAAAAAAAAAGGTGAGCTTTAAAGCTTTGGTATGCTCGTTTTGAAGAAAGGGACAACAGAGAGAAATTTCCATGGCTTCTTTTACACATTTTTTTACCTTTGAGTACTAATTTATTTTTTACTTTATTTTTTAGTACTATTGGCGAAGATGTCGGAAAAGCGGTGAAAAGGAACTGTACAAAGCCGGTGGAACCGCCGGGAAGTTTAAGGGAGAATCTGTGGGAACGTGGGCTTAACGTGGGATGTCAAAAAAGAACGGAATTGTAGAGCACTTCATTTTCACTACAAAATGCAAAAATTTGTCTCCTTTACATGCAAAAAACTCGAGTTTCTAAGTAGTTAAGTGGATCCCAAAATTTTACGAGAATAGATATTACTGCATTCCCATCTTAGCAAATTACGTAAATTTGTGCTAAAATATGTCTTTTTTTCAATATATAGACTGTTATTAAGTAAGTAATCAAGAGAAATAAAGCATTGATTAGACAAAACTTGGATTAATGCTAATAGATGTGTCTTTTTTTTTAAAATAAAAAAAAAAGACTATGTGTAAGAGTTTTAAAAGGCAGATGTTATTAATTTGGGGTAATATTATATATACTCTTTTGCTGCAATGGCATGAACTTAACAGATGAGATGAACTGCCAAATAAAACTGTGGACTAGACTATTCCTTCTATTAATCTGATCAGATGTTTTAAGTTCTGGTCATGAGAATTGGGAAAAAAAAGTAGTAACTAGTGTCAGTTGTACGAGACGCAAAATAAAACTTCTCTGAGAATTGTAAGAGAGCTACATAACACAAATTCAAGATGAGTAATAAAAAATGGATGAACTGAAAGTAGTAACTCTATTGAATATTGACAAATAAGTACTTCCTTCGATCTATTTTAATTGATTTTTTAACTTTTTTTTGTGATTCGCAATATTTGTTTTTTTAGATATTAAGAAGGGATTAACTTCTTTTTTCCAAAGTTGCTCTTGAAATAATGAGTCAAGGAGTATCTGTTATATTTTCAATGAATAAATTAAAATTAGTATGATCAATTTTATTATTAATTAATTTTTAATATGCATACGCGAGGGAGTATTAATATATGGGATCTGAATGCTCGCTTTGCATGTGCCTGCTGCTGAAACGTTCATTCGTTCTTGATAGAGGGTACATTATAATTTACAAAGAAATATTACGTGTAAAGAGTAGCTTTTTATTGGATATTAGTAATAGTTAACAATTCCTAAATGTTACTTCCTAAGGGATCGTTTGGTTGGAATACGATATATATCGGTATAAGTTATGCTGGTATAAGTTATATTGGGATAAGTTATGCTGGGATTGTTGTTTATTCATTGTTTGGTATGTTTATTAAGAATGACAATTGCATAATTTTTAAGAAGAAGGTATAAGTTATACATGTGCTAAAATTAACATCAGAATAACTTATACCTGATTAGCTAACCAAATAAAGTATTAAGATGATATTAAATTTGTATACCACTATTATAGCTTGTTATACCTTATACCAAACGACCTAAGTGGTAGCTTAATTTCTTGATTTGTTAAACAATAGCTGTAATCGAGATAAGAAAGTACCGAAATGAGTGTTAACTAATACAGCTAATAAGCAGAAGACATATGTCAGCCAACTTAAATTCACCCACACGATGCCACAACAGTTGTTTATTGTTTCGTGCTTGTAAAAAAGAGAGCTGAGTGCTGCACCTGTCCCCAAAACTGATTAATTGCTATTCTACTGTCTATAACACTCACCAATCCTAAAAACTAAGCTAGTATTTGGATATAAATTTAGTTGTAACTTAACAACAAGAGTTTTCGAAATTACGTTGAAAATTGAATTTTGAAAGTTAAAAGTTATTTTGGACATGTATTTTACTTGGGAAAAAATTAAAATTTTACGAGTGGAAGAAAATTTTAGAGAAATTTTCACAAATCATTATTGTTTAGTGGTTATTAACTAGTTATAGCTATCATTTACTAAATTACTTCCTATAGTTATATTTTCAGTTGTTATAGAGTCTATTTGATGTATTTAAGCTACCGTATTCATAAATACAGTAGCAAAACTCGGCGTGAAACGGGTGATCCAGCTAAGCAACGGTTGTATTTGATTGTATTCGACTGTATTCGTGAACTGTATTTGTGAATACAGTAACGTAAACTGCGTAAAAAATTGTCTTTTCAGTTGTTTAAAATGGTAAGTGAATCAATTAACGTGATAGACTCCTAATATAACTCAACTATAACACGCAGAATCTATTTTTCACGTTAAAGAAAAGATTTTCCAGCCTAAAAAGACCACAAAACAGAGCAATCTCTAAACTTTCAATCCCTCCTTTTTCTGCTGCTATCGTTCTGTAGATTTCAAAACATGTACTCATTTTAGATGAATACAGTTATTTGGAATACATAACATATTCATAAGTACAACAGTGAAAGTCTTGTAAATACAACTAAATACATCTAAAAACAAACAGTGAAAGTCACTGTAATAACTATTTATCAGTAAAACACAGATGACTACATGTATTTGAAATACATAACACATTCATAAGTACAACTGTGAAAGTCATCTAAATACATCAAAATATATCTAAATACATCTAAAAACAAACAATGAAAGTGTTGATTCTTTCAAATTTTCTCAAATTGGACTTGTTTCGATGTGTCATTGCATATTTTTGTTCTCTTTTCCGCAACTGTATTTGTTGTTGAACCTGCAAATACATGTTCCGCTTGAGTGATTTGCAAATCGAAAGATGGCTCTTCGAAATTGAGTGTTTTGGTCGGTATACCTCGGATAACCCTCTTGTAAGGAGTTGAATCAGCCATTGGAGAAGAAAATTCGAGTTTTCTGTAAAAAGATGACAATGGTGATTGTTTCTACAAAAACAAAGTACAGATATACAGAATAATACATGTGCCACCGAAAAACTAAAAAATTTAACACTTACCACAACTTTTTTGGGCAAACAATTTTGAAAATTGAGAGAGAGAATTGAGATGAATCAGTTGATAATGGAGGTTGTATTCGTGGGAAAAATACTTGGTTGGGAGAGAGATAGTGGAGAGAGAACGTGAGTTTAACAAAATTGTATATAATACCGGTGTTATTAGGAGAGATAATAGAAAGTATGAGAGAGAAAAATATTTCAGAGCGTATTTAATGACTTAACAACAGGAAGTGACCATAAATAGATAATTTGCTATAAAACCTAAAAGGTAGCTATAGAATATAATTTTATAAAAAAAAAATATTTATTTATAATAAAGAAGGTGTAAAGGTTTGCTATAGGAGGTAAAAATTTCAAAATGATACTAAAAAACTGGCCCAATTAAATTTACAAAAAGATCAAATATCATGTACAAACACTGTTTTCAAAGTAAAAAATATCCATGTCCAAAACGGGAGCATAGTAGTTGATGTTGAAACTGAATTTATTTCTAAAGTATTGTCGTTTGGACATACATATTAGAAATTTTTACCTCTTATAGCAAAGGTTAACACCTTATTTATTTTAAATAAATACTATTTAAGAGAATTATATTCTATAGATACCTTTTAATGTTTATAGCAAAATATCTAATTTTGGTTACCTCCTACCCCTAAGCCACTAATTACGCTATTCAGTTATATTATTTTCATTCTTTCTCTACTTTGATACATGTCATCATCTTCCCCCATCCCATTAAAATTTCCGCTCTCCTCCTCCTTCTAACGGCATCTTCTATTTGCCTCACTTTAATCAATGCTTCAAAATCCAACGACCCAATTCCTACACCATGGCCAAAACAACTCCACTCGATTCTCTTCATGAATAACTTGATTTGTGGTACGATTATCCCAATGGCAGGAACTTCAACATTATCCAAAACCAATTGGGAAAGCGATAACTCGAGGTTCTCAACTTCCGTCATCTTCAATACAAGATTCAAGCTTTAAAGAGTCCTTATTCTGCCATCATTGCTCGACGACGAATTCGCCGAAAATTAGGGTTTATTCTTGAACAAAGACGACGGAGTTTGGGGCTGAGCAACTTGATTTTCTGTTAATATATTTCAATATATTTTCAACGTATCACGTTGTATTTTAATGTATTTTATTGTATTCATTGTCTTTTTTTTCATTGTAATTCAATGTGTCTCGTTGTATTCCATATATTTCATTGTATTCACTGTCTTTTTTTATTGTATTTCAATGTATCCCACTGTATTCTATGTATTTTATTGTATTCACTGTCTCGCTATATGCCATAAATATATTCATATATTTTTTTAATTAATATAATTTATGTATTCAGATGTATTATCAAATTTCTCTGAAGATTGCTATGTTTTTTGGGGTATTTTTCGGTTGAAAATCTTTTTTATAACCGGAAAATACAAATTTTGTGTGTTATAATTGAGTTTGTTGAGTTATATTAGGAGTCTATTATGTTAATTAATACACTTTCCGTTTAAAAACAATGTAGTCCCCTGTTTCACGCTGTGAATATAGTCGAATACAGTCGAATACAATAATCTGTCCAGCTGTAATCCCATGTTTCACGCCATGAATACAGTCGAATATAACAAACTGATTAGGTGGACTTCCCTGATTCACACCTATTTTAGCTATTGTATTCATGAATATAGTAGCTTAAATACATCTTATAACAACAGAAAACGTATCTACAATCCATAATATAACAAAGGATATCTATAGATAACTAGTTACCACTAAAAGACAGTGCTTTATGAAAAATATTTCACGTATTATTCATGTGTAGCCCATGAATCTGGTGAGATTATGAGAAATTAAGTAGTCAAATCAAATTTAATGACAAGCATCCATTCAATCAACTCTGTCTGTGCATGAAAAATCAGCAAAAAACAATTTTCCAAATTCTTATGTCTGCCCATTATTTGGTGCAATATGC